ATGTTATTGGCCGTATAAATTCAGTGGACTAATTCTTAATATTAAAATTGAAATTCTGCAATACTGTATATTCTAGAAATTTACCAGAGCTATAGAAATAAAGTATTATTATTATTATTATTATTATATTTTTTATTTTTCTCATTATTATTATAGTAGTCGAGTAAAACTACTAAATTAATAATGTTGTAAGGTCTATTTTCACACTTGAAAAAAATAATTTATATGTCTGGGGAAAAAAATAAATACAAGCCAACAACAAATATGAAATCAATCAATCTTTTAATTTGATGTCCAACAACTGATCAGTTATTTCAGAAAACCAGATCACACACGTTAACAACTGAGAACAGGTTTAATTGTTGTGACAGAAACTGTCTCAGTTTGTGTTTGTTAAAGTCAGACCTTTATGTTTCTGCACATTAGATTTGTTTTATTGATTCGATGAACATTTTGTGCAGCTGTGTGAAGATTTTCAGGGTTTAAAAACGTGTCTATAAATGTGAAAGTTGAGCTGAACTTATGAACATACAGAACAACTCTCTGTGAAACATGTTAAAAGTATTATTTTGTGTTTATTTTATGTTTTGAATGTGCACTGTAGAGTTTGTTTGCACTAAAGAGGAACTCCTGGCTTCTTATTTTCCCATTTATGAAACGTACACAGGACCAGGTTAAACATTTGGACTATGAGGAGATAAACTTCAGTCTGATTGTTTAAAGAGAAGCTCCGTCTGTGCACAGATTAATGTTCTGCTTTTGTTCGTTTGCAAGATTCAATCAGAGGTTTTCATTTGCAGGCAAAGACTTTGATTAAAGCTTTTTGCATGTCGTTCTCTCTGAAGTCTCTCACACGTGCACCACAATGTCCTCCACGTTCTTGCGTCTCAGGTCGGGCACGGTGGCGTCGGCGGCGGGATAGCCGACAGGAAGCAGCATCAGCAGCTTCTCGTTGGCCGGACGCTTCAGCAGCAGCCGGAGCTGAGGGCCGCAGTTCAGCGGCGTCGACGTGACGGTGACCAGGCCCACGTTCTGGGGACAAAACGCATCGTTACTACTGACGGCTGCACGTTCAGGAGGTCTGAGCTGCTGCGACTCACCTGCAGCGCTGCCAGCAGGATGCCGCAGGAGATGGACACGCTGATCTCGTTGTAGTAGTGGGTCTTCTTCCTGCCGTCCGGTAGAAGCCCGTACGTCTGCTTGAAGATGAGGATGAGGTACGGAGCCACGTCCAGGTACTCTTTAACCCAGTTTGTCCTGCAGGAGGAACGGAGACGTGAGAAACAGGAAGGACTAAAGTCAGTGACAGATACTCTGTAGAGATGAACAAACACTGTCAGCAGTTTGTTCTCTGGCTGCTTTAAAATGTTCAGAAGTTTCAGTCGTCTGCACACGAACCCTCAACGNTTCTGATTGGCTCACCTGGAAGCAGTAAAGGGGCGGGGCTAGACACAGGTGGATGACCAATAGTTCTGCAGCAGAACTCTGACTGGTCTGTTCAGCTGGGAGGCTAACTAGCTGAAAATTAGCTTCTTGAAATTCTTACAACTAAGTTTATAAGACATAGAAAACACCAGAGGAGCCCTTTAAAGACCCAAAGCAGGATTGTTCCGTTCATGACTTGATGTTAACTAGGATCATCTAAAACCTCTTTAACTAGAACTAGTGTCAACAACTGTTTATGGTGAGTTACATAAGAGCTGCTGTAATGTTGACAAACAGATATCAGCTCCCAGATAAGGATTCATCCAGATTTATCAGGATACAGCACCATAAAGGACAATAAAAGGCAAAATAAAAGCCCGAGAGCCCCAGGAAGTGCTGCAGCTTTAGCATTTAGCTTCATGCTGCAAACCTGGCTGCTCATCTCTGGTTAGTGGAGGAGGAGGACTAGTGTGCTGTCAGTTAGTGGAGCTAGCAGGGTAACGGGGAGAACTTGTGCTGAGCTCCGAGCCAGACTCATTTCTGCACCGTTTACTAGCCTAAACTAGCAGGGTACCTTCAGGCCAGACTGTTCACGAGCTGCACCGGCACCCACATTACCGGAGAACCGACTAGTTAACCAGCCGGGCCGCTGCCCGGACTCCTAACTAGCTAGAGGAGAGTTAGTTAGCCGAGTTAGCCGCGGTCCAGACGGCGGGCCTTACCAGCGTTCTGATCCCGGGGCCACAGGTAATATGTGGCCGGGATCACAATGAGCCCCACGAAGGACGTGAGGAAGTAGAAGAAGGTGTTGCCGCTGTCGTCATACTGGAACTGTTGTCCGGCCATTTCGGAGCGGCGCTTCGGTCGCCCTGCTGCTTCTCCACCGCCGCGGTTCCCCCTTCCAGCCCGATGTGTGACAGACCGTTAGCTAGCCAGCTAGCATCCAGCACAGCGCTCGGTGCATCGGTGTACGTGGTGTACGCCTGCGCAATGTGCTCCGTCTTCTTCTTCTGCTGCTGCCGGCGATGTGGCGCTTTCTCCGACCGTTACTGACCCCCAGCGGCGGAGACGAGAATGACAGCTGGATTTACCTGAGCTGATTTAAATATTAAAATCAAAAACCTGCAAAAACCCAATATTACAAACAATCAAAATCTACCTCAGTGCTTTAATATTAAGGCTAGGATCCTAAAATATTATTTATATACAAATTTACCTGAATACTTCAAATATTAAAGGTAAAACCCATTACCAGTATTATATATTATAT